GGCTTAAATGGGTAATGAAGAAAAACTTTAATATAAGTTAAACATGCCAGAAAATGTACACCGTTTTGACAAGTTTTTGTCATCACCAGGTCCCTGATGATGACAAAACCTTGTCGAAACGTTGTAAATTTGCTGTCATGTTAAACTTATATTAAAGTTTTTCTTCATTACCCATTTAAGCCGTCTCCAGCCATTATTAATGTTATGTGTGATAGGTGTAAGGAGTGGGTTTTGAGAATTCAGGGCTGACAGGAACATTTGAGGAAATTAGCACTGAAATTGTACAATTTGTATGTAGAGTTTGTACTATTGTAGGTTGAAGGAGAAATTGGAGGCTGTTATAAATAGAGTAGAGGAGATGGAAAAGGAAAAGGGTAAACTGTTGGAGGTTGCAGTAGGACTTAAGAGAGGAAATTTAGCTTTTGCATGTGTGGGATACAGGGGCTAGTGATAACTTTTGGGTGGTTGGCAGTGTTAAAATATTTAAATAGGGCTAGTGGTGACAGGTTAAATTATAATAATATAAAAAGCAGACTGGTAAAGAACAGATTTCACGCCTTTGTCTTGTGTGGATGATGAACTTCAGGAGGAAAGGATAACAAAAGATAGAGATGGGAATGAATATTATTGTTATCAGAGATTCTTTAGTATGGCACATGGATAAGATAGTCTGTGGGATAAACAGGGAGAAAAAAGTTAAATTATGCTATCCAAGGTAGGGGTGAAGGATATAACTGACAAAGCTAGTGATTTAGTAAAGGGTACTAGTAATATTGATACAGCCTTTGTAATGCACATAGGGGCTAATGATGTAGAGAAGAGTAGATCAGACAAACTAATTCAGTAATTGTTAAGTACAAGGCATTCAAAGAAAAGGGCCTTAACTTCATTCTTTCAGTATGTTACTGAAGCTAAATAATAGGCTTAGTTTGGCTAGTTGGAGGTAAGGAATCAGTTCAATGGGAAAATGGAGCTTTTTGAAATGGATGATTTACATTTAACTTTAAGTAGAATGGGGGCTAGCTTGTTTGCAAAGGCTATTTATTGACAGGGATGTACTAAAAAGAGGGGGGTAGTGGCTTTATATGTAGTGTGAGTCATAGCCTGTTTAAATTAAGGATATCAAAGCTAATAATAATGAGGTTGAATCTATTTGAGTTTCTTTTAGTGATTATAAGGGCTTTTATTTAGAATTTGTTACAGACCATCAGATGAAATTAATGAGAAGCAACAGATATAAAGAATTCAACTGTTAATGATGTAATAATTATGGGAGATTTTAATTTTAGGCATATAGATTGGAAGGAGCAGGTTTTTAGAAACTATTCAGGATGGTTTTCTTCAACAGTTAGTTAGGGAAAATACTAGGAACAATGCTACTTTAGATTTATTGTTAATTTCTATTAAAGAAATTGTTGGGGAACACCTGGGTGCCAGTGGTTATTACTCGATTAGATTTGATGTTTTTCTGCATATGGAGACAAAGGATAATGAGATTTTGGTTCCAAGTTTCAGAAAAGCAAGTTTTTGAAGAGATAAGACAAGAATTATGCTATGAATTGGGTAACTAAATTAGTTGAAGATACTGATCAAATGTGGAAAATTTTTTACAATCTTATATATTGAAAATAGATATGTTCCTTTTAGACAGAAAAAAGTGTCTGCAAGTAAAAAAAAACATATATTTTTTTTGTTATCACTGTTTCTTATGTAAAGGACTGACACTCATGGACTTCATGAGTAAAGTGAATGGGTATTGTACTGTTTCCAGTGTATCATTCTTCAGAACTCCTCAATGTGTAACTCCCCTTCTTCTAGTGGAACATGGGAATCCTTGCCTCTTCCAGTTCCCAATCACTGGAGTGGTGGGTTTAGTACCACAAACAAAATTAGATTTTTTGGTTCATGTGTACCCACTCTGTGAGAAAAGAGCTATCATCATTATATCACTGGAGTGGTGGGTTTAGTACCACAAACAAAATTAGATTTTTTGGTTCATGTGTACCCACTCTGTGAGAAGAGAGCTATCATCATTATACTCGTTGATATACCAAACAGTGATTATACAAGAAATTAATATTCACGATCTAAGATGCTTTCTCTGGATGTTTTCCAGGCAGACCACACTTGTTGATCTCTACATCTTATGCAAGGTGCTTCCACTGGATGTTTTCTTCCCAGATGGACTGCGCCTGGCATAATCTAACATATCTCAAGGTGCTTCCCCTGAGCAAACTGCACTTGTTGAGTTCACAAACTTATGCAAGGCACTTTTGCTGGGTGTTTTTGCCCAGATGGACTGCATTTGGCATAATTTGACGTATCCTAAGTCTCTTCACCTGGTTGTTTTTTTGCCTAGGCGTAGTGTACGTGGCCTGTACAGTTCATGGTCCTTTAGCCCTAGACACACCTAAATCTTTCATTTTTCTCTGGCACCTTTCAATGGCTCATTATCACTGTTCAGTAATAGAGCCTGCCATATATGTGGACAAAGTATGACCTTGTATGTTGACAACGGGCTGGTTCTGATATACTTCATGATCACACTTTTACCTGTAATTTGTTTTTCATAATCCTATGTATTCAAGACACTTCCCGTGTATTTTTTATTTTTTTTGACTGGGAGGACCATACTTGTTGATCACAATATCTCAGACAAGGTGTTTCCACTGGATGTTTTGCCCGGTTGGACCGCACTTGATATACTCTGTTGTTCCAGGTGTGCTTTCTTTTCATATTATTGCTCACCTGTACTTTCAGTGCAGTCACTTTCTGCTTGATTGAATACTGATGTGCCTTCACCAGCCCCTCCACCTTTGCAATGTGGGATTCCAGCTTTGAGTGATAGGAGGTAAGACAGTTTCGGAAGTTAACATTTTCTTACACTGAAAATGTGTTTCCAATAGGTACTTACTTCTTCTCACACCCTTCCTCCCCACTGACAGGCCAGTGTTTTTAGTTTGTACCTGCCAATTCTTGAAAGTGAGGATTGTTTCAGAATAGTAGAGGGATGCTAGCTGCACTAGCATAGATGACTCAGTATAATTGGTGGAGGGTAGTCACATGATCAGCACATGCTCTGAAATGGAGTGAAACTGATGGGGTGTAAAAGACTGGTGTGCAGTTAGGGATAATTTTTTTAGCAATGCTTAGAGGGCAAACCAAGATCAAGATAGGTTGGGTGACCAGAGGTAAGTACCTATCGGAAATACCTTTTCAGTGTAAGAAAATGTTAACTTCCGAAAAACAAAATATTAAACCATTTCTCAAGGTCAATAACAATATCAAGCAACAATTAGCAATAATTTTTCTAATTATATCATGTGAACTAATTCGCTTAAGATCAAGGAAGGGTTTTTATTTAATGGTTAGGCTATGAGGTTGCGTCTCATGTGACTAGGTAATTTACATAATTTTTCACAATGTTAATATCTGTATTGATCAGTAATTGTTTCTTCCTGGTTACAATGGGTGCATCTTCTTTGATCATATGGTAACCAGTTTTTCTCCTCTTGTGAACATTTCCACATCATAGTCTTATCTATACAGTTCTTTTGATCTCACTATATCCTCCATATATTTGTTATCAAAGTTCTTAGAAAGTTGGTTTAAAGTTTCTTCAATCCCAAGATTGTTATACACACTAATTATTCTCCATTTATCACACATGTGGGAATTTCTTATTGTAAGTCCTAACTTCCATGACTTGGAGGAGATTAATGGAGATAATTTCTTGGCAATTCCAATCAGTTGTCTACCTTTTGCTTTC